CAATATTCGCCGGGCAACTCAAGGCCGCCCATGATGCCTGTAACTGAAGGCCACCCACGATGCCCTCGTTGCGTGCGTGTGGTAAAAATTCCGTGGGTTACATGATATGTCACGCCCGTTGGGCCGATTTTCAACGCCCGTTTGTTCCACTGCGAAAGCAATTGCGTTGCCCAGCAAGGGGGCCACTGGAACCGTCTCGTCGATGTCTGTCCGAAAGTCGATCGAGCTTGCGTCCTCTCATATGAGTGCAAACGCTCAATTCACGCGTGCGCTAATGGCGCGTCGCCTCGACAATTTGTTCCATCGTCCTTTTCTGCTCATGTTATTGAAAACCCAGGCATGAAGCTGTTCGCGATCTGCGACATCGAGGGGTATTGTTTCGTCAGCAGCGTCGACCGTGGAATGAACGGGAACCCGAAGCTGAGGCTTTGGTTCGACTGCCCACTGGGGCGGACCACTCGCCACGTCCTACCTTTCCTACTCGGCGCCTGCAAGAAGTTCGGTGACAAGATCGACGGCTCTGGCGTGCACATCGCAATGGACAACTACTTCACAAGCCCGACCCTATTCGAGTGACATCTTCGCGGTGGGTACGTGCTGGTCAAATCGAACGGGTGGTGCCGTGCCTTAGTTGCAGAGCCTCGATCGCCGCCCCGTCGAGCGGGGAGAGATGCACTTTGCCCGCGCCGGCAATGTCGCATTCGTGCAGTGGCTAGACTCGAAGGAAATCATTCTGTGCAGCTCCATCCACATCGCCCAACCTCACGCCGCCATCGGGGAGCCCAAGAAGGAGGACGACGGCGGCGACGACCACTTCGCACCTCTACTGTACAGGTAACCTTTCATTTTCGTTGTTCCCTAGATTCATGTTGATCGCTGTGTTTTGATGTCGGGCGTTTCGCTCGTGTAGCCGTCGGTCAAACTGGTTCGTCGTGTGATGGAGTCCTCGGTTTCGTGCTTGGACATGCAGCTATTCGCGTTGGTGCCTTTCTTATTCGGTTCATCACACACGTTGCTTCCACCGGTCGGGAAGGTACTCGGGGGCTGGTGTATTGTTTAATTGACAGGGGCTGACGCGCTATTTCCAGTGCGTGGTTCCTGCTGTGGATAGTGTATTGCCTAACCCAGGTGCCTCGTCTGTCCCCTGCCATCCCGTCCCCATCCGTTCATGTTCAGTCTGCGCAAGCTGGTCAGGCTGGGAAAAGCTTGGAGCTACAGCAGCCGTGGATGCGCAAGGATAATGTTGCCAACATGGGGGGAGTAGACACGGCTGACCAGCAGATTGGGTCCCACACCCATGCCCACAAGTCGTACACGAACCACTGGCAACGAGTGATGGAGGGCAAGTTTGAGCAGACGTTCGCCAACATTTTTGTGATGTTCAAAAGGTACGTGCCCCTTTTGGAGGATCAGGCCAACAAGAGGATCAAGAGCTTGAGGTGGTGGACAAGTTGGATAGGGTGTTGGTCGAACTTGGCAGGTTGGCCAAGATGGAGAGGGCGGTCTGGGACGAAATGTTGTCGACGGAGCTCATGGCGAGGTGCAATGTTGGTAGACCGAACAAGGGCGGGAGACCGGCGGCGGTGACGGATGCCCCGGACAATGTGTGGGGGAGCATTTCGGTGAAGACTCAACGCATATGCATGCACCCCGGATGCCAGAGTAAGACATGGAAAGGATGTGCCTGCGCGGAGCTTTGCGTTGGCAAGGGACCGGGGTGTTTTGATGTGCCGGGCACGCTTCAACAACCCTGTGAGGCACGCTAGGGCCGGAGATGCTCAACGGAACCCCCAGAAGTACGGGGTGGTGGGACGCAAGGATCTCGTCTGGTGGTGGTGAGCGCATTTTTTTTTGGCCTAACGTACGTTGAATGTGGCATGTGTTCCTGGCGGAGGAAACGTGGATGTGTTTCGAGGGTGCTCCGTTGTGATTTGCCTGGGGGTCAAACTGATCCGACAAGTGCATATTAGTGTCGTTCATCATCCATCTTCCCTTCCGCGACGGATTTGTTGTGCCTTTATCGTCCACCGGTGTTTTCTTGAAATCAACGGTGGACGAGTGATAATTTTTGTTCCTTCGCCGTTTACCTGTGTTGCTTATAACAGCAGTGGTATTGTGGTGTGACTTGTGTTTTGCTGTTAGAACATTCGGTTGTTCCCAACCTTCCTTTGGTTTACCACGGCCCTACCACGTTGCGGTCAGAAAACTGTCGACCAGGCCATGGGTGATCGTTTCGAAATAACCAATCTTGTCGGCGTGTCCCCCTTCTCCCGTTGTTGAACGGACAAAGTTCAGGCCTCGTCGAGCGGCTGAAACCGCTTGTTGCTTGGGGTCCTACGTATCCGCCAAGATATATGCAGCGGAGAGTTTGTTGTGGGGCACCTGTTGGGAGGTTCTACTTTTCACTTGTGAACTTTATGTCCCCTAGCAGGCTTTCATTCAGTGTTGCCTGTTGTACTTTTATTTGTTTGGGATGTCGTTTGTGTACAGGGACATGTTTTGACGTCCACACGTATGTTTTTTTTGTCAACAACCTAACTACATGTCGGCCTTGGGTTGTCGCCGGCATCGGGGGTTTAGTTGACAGCCACGGTGGCCATATAGGCAAGAGTTTGCAAGAATTGCAGATAGCATCGCAAGAGGTCTTTCGCATCTACGAAACGAGTAACCGACACATTTCTTGTTCTGGCTGTGTGCGATTTTTCTTTCGCGCAACGACGTGACGCACCGCCATACCGATGGTGTCGCAACACACCGATGGTGTCTCAATGCACCAGTATTTCGGAGACTGCGAACGCCATCGAATCCAATACAGATAGCGTCCGCACTTAAAAAACTCTAGTTTCGGCGGAGGCTGGGGTTCTTATTTTGCTGAATCATCCTCTTGTGGGCTACGAATGCCCGCTATATAGGTTTTAGTGTGGGGTTCTTACCCGAGCTCACAAATGGTGCTCAAGTCCTTAGCTTCTGATTTTTTGCGAGTCTCAATTTCTTACCTGCTAAGTTCTTAAGTGCGGGCGCTATCTGTAGTGCGATGGTGGTGTCTCAATACACAGACAGGTATTGCGGAGACCGCGAGCGCCATCGAAATCCAATTGTGCGAATAAGACGCTCCCTCCACGCGAGGAAGCCATGCGTACGTAAAGTTTTTTTTTCGTTGTCTTCGTAACCACACCACGCTGACCTCGACATACACATGCCTACGCCGTTCTACGGGTGTGACTTCAAAAGGTGCCAATGCTCGTTGCCAATGCTACTTGAAGAATGCACCACCGCTACTCTCACCGACGGGTGCCTTGCCGGTACCATTTATCGAAATTAGCCCAGCGAACTCAACAACATGCGGAGACAAGACGCCCGGCAAACCACGCACAATCCTCGACGGTCTGCTCGATCCGGAACCAACCAGCCATAAAAAACAAGCACGGCATGTACATGCATATCGGCGCGCAAATCTTCCAAATCCTCGTGAGCAAGACGTCGTCCAGCACACATTCCATCCCTCATGCCCCATGAGCAGCCTATCGTACACCCTCAAATATAACGACAGGAAGGCGTCCGAAATGGCCGCTGGCACGGGTTCATCCCCCGGCCACACCGCGCGGCACGCCTGCGTGAAGCAGTCACTCCTCGTGATCTGCACGCTACGACCCCTTGCATTCGTCTGAATGCTCGTGCCGAACAAGCCTGCACATTGTGGACAGGAAAAACATGAAAGTCGGGTTGTCGGTTACAGAGTGTACTCCAAATCTTTGGGGGGAAACGGAGAGCTAGCGAACGATGGCATCGATAGCCTGTGAGAGACGGACGCGTACACGCAATGTGTACGTTCTACATGGAGGATATTTTCGGTCCCTCGACAACGGCGTTACTCCTTCTGCCTTGAACAGAGAAATTTTGAAGACTTCGTGACTACAACGTACTCTGCCCGTTCCATAATACGGAAGATACCACCCTATCTCTCGGCATGCCCCGGGGTGTCGACGTGTTGGGCACCATATGTATTGTGTTTCGACAGCATCGCTGGAGCATTCTGTTAGGGTTGGGGATAGACTCGCCGACGTCGCTCATCCCTCTCTCCTTTTCACTTCGTGTGGCCATGACTTCGCTCTCGCTGCTGCGGATCCACGACATACCGCATTTTCGTTGAAGTTCGAAAGTCATCTACATTATTTACCTAGTCTATACAAATGAAGCACTGCTCAACGCACACGTGTATCGCCGTCCTTGCATGCTACAGCCGCTGCCATGGGCACGCCTGCAACCGTCACAACATGCAGCATGTGTTGATTTCGAGCATGTACTGCTGTACCTACAGCAAATGTTGCTTCCTCTTGTAGCAAGATGAGGAGATATGCTACGTAGAAAAGAGACGTACAAGTATGGAATGGATATNCACTGCTGTACCTACAGCAAATATTGATTCCTCTTGTAGCAAGATGAGGAGATGGATATGCTACATAGAAAAGAGACGTACAAGTAGTCTAGCCTCCTCCCCTCCCCGGGGGAGGCCGAGGCCCGCAAGTGCAGTTAACCCTCGAAAAAACCACCCAACAACGAGGGATATACGGTCCCTAGCACCGTGTAGGAGAGGATCCTGAGTT